AATTTAACACCTTCGGTCTCCCAAAAATCGTTAGAGACTATGGCTGTTGACGCGGAGGTGGCTGTTGTGATCGGGAGGAAAGATAACATCGTTAAAAGTTTGGTAGCTAATGAAATTCGGGCTGTGCCCGCGTCTTCCCATTTCAATCCTGAGTTCCCTGTTTTTAAGTCCCTAAAGCAGAGAATAAGGGAAAACGACCTTATTGTTACTAAAGCCGATAAAGGCAATACTGTTGTTATTATGGAGAGTAGTGGGTACAGCCAGAAAGTTAACGATGTTATCCAAAGTGATGACTTTGAGCTATTGGAGTCTGACCCAACCAAAAAGTTTACTTCGGATATTAAGTTATGTATACAACAGTCATCATATGTTTTTCCCGATCACAACTTGTCTCGGAGCAATCTTGTTCCAATGAATCCTCAAGCACCCATTTTATATGGGTTACCAAAAATACATAAAGAACATGTTCCTATTCGTCCAGTTGTCTCATATATTGGTGCACCAGCTTATTTCCTTGCTAAAAAATTAAACTTCCTCCTTCGAGAGAAATCTGGATTCAACCCCACTTACAGCCTAAAAATGGCTTAGATCTCATTTCCAAAATTAAAGATATTCGTATTCCTCCTAAATCCATATTGTTATCTTTAGACGTTGATAGTCTTTTCACAAATGTCCCATCCCCTGATTGTTTGCGTATACTCGCAGATCTCTTTGAAAAACGTCGTCTACATCCCGGGGAAACAAATGATCTTCTTAACTTAACCTCTCTCTGTATGAAACAAAACTATTTCCGGTTTAATAACCGTTTCTATCTACAAAAAGAAGGGTTAGCTATGGGGTCCCCTCTAAGTCCCCTTATGGCGGACATTTTCATGGATAATTTCGAAAAACAACATATAGTTGTCAATCAAAATATCTTATATTACTATCGATATGTAGACGACATAATTATTTGCTGGACTGGCACAAGGAGACAACTGGATGTTTTCCTCAATAAAATAAATAGAGTCCATGACAAAATTAAATTTAAACTTGAATTGGAACAAGATTGTTCCCTTAATTTTCTTGACTTAACAATAACAAGAAAAGAATCGTCACATGTTTTCCAAATTTATCGAAAGCCAACTCACACCGACACAGTCATCCCCGCGTCATCATGTCATCCATGGCAACATAAAGTAGCCGCTTTTTATTGTTACATTAACCGGTTGTTCACTGTCCCATTAAGTAAAGAAAATTATTTAAAAGAACTTAATATAATTTATCAAATAGCGGTCTCTAACGGTTTTCAAAAAATCTCATTAACAATTTAATTAAAAAGAAACAAAAGCATGTTATTCGCAACTCTCTGTACGCGGTTCAACCTCAAAGTGTTCATCGATATGTGAGCAGTTTGACCTACTTAGGCCCCATATCTGAAAAAGTAGCTAATACTCTTCGACAAAACGGCGTTTATGTGGCGTTTAAAACAAACAATTCTCTTAGAAATATCTGTAATAGTAAAGATAAGTTGGATATTCGTCAAAAGTCAGGTGTTTACAAACTTGTTTGTGACGAATGCCACGCCGTTTACGTGGGTCAAACTGGTCGCAATTTCGAGACACGTTATAAAGAGCATTTAGCCGCGTACAGGAATTGCAATCCCGATAAATCCCATTTTGCCAAACATCTTTTGGACACTGGACACAACCTAGCCAACGACCACTCCTTTAAAGTCTTACATACGTGTAATAAAGGGCTGCGGCTGTGTGTGCTGGAACAGTTAGAGATATTAAAAAGTAATAATAATACCGTTGCATTGCTGAATGAACAAACAAATGTTACTAACTCACCTCTCTTAAATATCTTCAAGCCTGCTCTCTAATAATGTGGGCGTTGCGCGGCGGTTTGTTTTTAATTTTACAAACGGCTGCGTAAGTCCAGCGGTGATTGGTCGCATGTTTTATCGCATGACGCAGTCGCTCGCTTCTTAGGTAGAGAGCGGTTGCGTCATCGGTTTGTATAAAAGGCAGTTGTTTTGGCTCGCCGCTCACTTAGCGGTTAGCCACCGTAGAGTCTATATCACCTGAGGATGCCTCGTGTAGAGGCGAAACACGTGTCGTATTATCGTCAGTGGTGTGTCTTGCCTAGTGTAGTGGTGTTGGGAGTAGCGGTGCTGGGATTAGTGGTGACGGGGTTAGTGCACGCAATTGAGGGAGGGCGGGAGGTGCTTCTTCATACTAGGTAAGACACATCATTTTATTTTATAACGCGGATATTTGCGAAGTAAAATTTTTGTAAAAGCTTTTATAATTATTTTATAATAAAATCACCTGCTGAACTTCTTGCTTCTTTCTTGTTCCTCCCTAAACAATGGTGCTTTCCAAAGCAGTATGTTATAGAAGACTTACATCATTTTTTAATGGAATGTGAGCGGAACCGAGGGGCAAGGGAATTATTTATAAGGACCTATAAGATAAATATGTACAATATGGGTATTGCGCAAGGCATTCTACATGCCCCCACCTCGGATATTGCATTGAGTATGTGCAGATTAATAATAAATGTATAGATTTTAAGTTAGTTATAATGGGATTGACATATTAACAATTAAAAATCCCTAAATAAATAAAGAGAAAAAAAAACCAGTATGTTCGGGGTTGTACCGACACTAAGGGGATGATAAACTGATAACGCTTGATAAGTCTGATAAAATATATTTTGGATAAGTTACAAATGTTAAAGGCTGATAATAATGAGTACGCGTAGCGCTCTTGGTGGCTATATGCGAACTGATTTTATAATACAATTGCCGCGGAAATATGTAAAAGAGGTCAAGTTGTGAAATGATGACTTGACAATTGTACGTTGCATTTCATGCTCGTACATATTCCCGGGCAGCAAAGATGGGGTTAATAGAATGATGGATGCTAGTGTGGCATAATCTAATTACAAGGTGATACCATTGTTTCTTATCTATCGTGCAAATGATAACTTGATTAGTACATTAATGTATAAGGTGATTAAACAATATTCTTATCTAAGACTAGTCTATGCACACTGGTTTGGAATTGCGTACACTGATCCGAGCACAGGCGACGTGCTTCTATTTTGCTTAAAAACACGTGCATTCGTTTTTGACAAACCATTTGCACTCACTTTTTGACACTGATTGCCCATAGAATAATTATTTGCACTCACACTTTGACACTGATTGCCCATAACACATTCACTACACTGAGCACTGACACTCGGTAGAACCTGTGGCGACGACGTCTCCTGTTTCGTCATAGGCACCGACACTCCCACCTCCGCGGGTGCTCCCGGCGCCGACCGCCTACAGCGCCTCCAGCTGTACACCAGGGCGCCCACTGCAATGACCGCAAACAATACATATATCGCAGCGTAATGGTGGACATCATGATAAGAAACCGTCTCTGCTAGGGGCTCGTTGTTCTTCATAATCTCAATCTGTTCCTTGATCATCTGCAGCTGTAGATTATTGGCTATATCATCATTCGTATTGTTCGGTAAGGAGCGATCGGGTAGCGATATGTTGATGACATGATTAATTGGTGATATCTTAGGGGCTCGTATATCAGAACGGATGTTCATCTCGCTAAGTTCTTGTCAGTGTGAATAAACAAAGTAATCAGCTGTTTTAACTATACAACCTTGATCCACATTAAAAAGGCCAGAGCGGGTCAATTGCACTCCCGTAACTTGATCGTCACATAGTAACTTCATTTTGCACTGGTCACAACAAAAATAAAAATATGTCTTTAGTTTATTTAATTCTTTCCAGCGATTATAGCATGATCTGGTAATTGTTTTACATTTTCTTGATAAGGGTAGATTCTCGCAGAAACTTTGATCGTCCTTTATGTAGTAAATAGGCTTTTTATGATATGGCACAAAATAATTTTTGAGTCTCTTCTAGTACATAAATCCAGGTCCTTTTCGGTCAGTGGCACTAAGGAGTCTTTCTTTAAACTGATAGCAATGTATCTTGATACCGGTACTACGGAAATTTCTTCTTTATTTTCTGATATATAAGGTACTGGTATAACTTCCAGGACTTCAAACATATCTCTGCTCATGAGAGGTATCTTGAGTTCGAATATGATGTAATTACCCCTTACTCGAGCTCGCACCTGCAGTTGTAGATTTCATATAAATTATAGTTATCTATTGGTAATGATAGGTCTTTCGGAAGCTGGCCTGCTATAATGTTCAGTTCTTGTCTTAACTGATTAGGAGATAACAAGTGAAAACAAAATTTTCCATTGTATATATTTGTAATAGTGTTGAGTAAATTTTGTTGTATATTTCTGAGGCTGATTATGAGGTTACTTGTCATCATGGCTGTACTGATAAATTCACTCGTGAAGGACATATTCTGAAGCTCTCTCTTAAATTGATCTACGGAATTTTCTATTGCTATAAATTTTCTGTTAATATTCTTGTGATACTTCTCCATGATTTCTTCGGTGCGTTTTAATAAATTAAATTCCGCTTCCACTACGGTCGTTTGATTTTTCCATAGGGTCGCTAAATGGTTTTGATTTCGCCTGATAAGTTCAATGTCTTTTTCATATTTTTCTGCAAAACTTTCGTCTAAAATACCGAATAAACTATTAGCAATATTTCCTACACCATTGATCAAGTCGCGCCGGCGACGTGGACGGGTCTCGAATGTATTATCATGTTGAGTAGTTAAAATGTTATTATAATATTGCAGTTCCGTGAACTCATGCCGAAGTTGCAATAAGATCTCTTCACAATGTGATCGTGCCTTCAAAATTACACACATGTTATTTAAGTATTCTATATATTTTGTTAGCGCCGTATTACCTTTTTGATAAGGGAATGTGTCATAGTAGACAACGAGGCGCCAGTCGTCTCGTATTAAATGCATGTGTGTTATGGTATCAAAATATAGCCTGCTGTTTTGTAATGATGTTATGTTATAGGAGCATTGTACTGTCGAGATGATTGTAATAAAGAATAATAATAGTGATTTAATCATTGATATTAAGCAATATTTTTTTTCTTCTGCTTGATTTAGGGATTGATTTATTTTCATTTTCTTGAATTTGTTTTTCTGTTGAACTGCTTGTCCCTTCCTGATTTTGCTCAACCGTTAAAATTGAAAGTTTCACGATTGGCCGTTTTAAAGTTCCGTTTTTTGGTTCTAAGAGTCAACTCTGACGTACCCGTCGTTGCCCGGATGTAGCTGCACAACTCGCCCAAGGGGCCACTTTCCCGGAGGAAGGTTTTCGTCCCTGATAATAACGATGTCATTCTCTTTGATATTTGGCTGCGGTTTTCTCCATTTACTTCTGGCAGCTAATTGGGTTAAATACTCGTTGCGCCATCTTTCCCAAATATCGTTAAATATTTTTTGGGCATAAATACCACCTTGTCCTTAAGTCAGTTTCGGTATCATAGATGTTCAACGTAGTACCGCTTGAAAGAAAGTGGGCAGGTGTTAGAACGTCTAAGTCATTGGGATCTTCAGTTAATGCACATAGAGGTCTCGAGTTTAGACATCCCTTCACTTGAGAAAATAGGGTGCTGTATTCTTCAAAAGTAAGCGCTTGTTCGCCAACCACGCGCTTAAGATGATATTTAAGCTCTTAACCGCAGCTTCCCATAAGCCGCCCGCTGATGGCCAAGCGGGGGCATTAAAGTGCCATTCAATTCCCAAACTGGCAACTTTCGACATAAAGTTTGGGCTGAATATTTCTTGAATCGGAATGCGAGTACTCTCGTTGCAAAATATTGTTAGCTCCTATGAAATTGCGGCCTTGATCACTGTAGACGTGTCCGGGAGTTCCTCGTCTTGCTGCCATGCGAAACGAAGTCAACCAGTTAGGCCCTTGCCACCACAAAGTATGATCTTTGAGTTGAGTGGCGTTTAGACCTCGGCTGGCACAATCGGCTGAGTTTTCCTTTGACTTGACATAACGCCAGCATTCAGGTGGCATTGAAGCTGTTATTTGTTTCACGTGGTTAGCTACAAATGGCTTCCATCGCTCTGGGTCACCATGAAGCCAACCGAGCACCGCAGTCGAGTCAACCCAACCGTAGATATTGATTTGATAGCTAGACAGGTTTGATGTAATTTTTACCATTAACTTGGATAGCAGCACAGCTCCGCTTAACTACAGGCGAGGCAGAGATACTGTCTTTTTGAGCGGCACAAGTTTTGTTTTAGCAGCTACCAATGTAATTGATGATGAATTCTCTCGCTGGATTTTACAGTACACGACACAAACGTAGGCCATCCAACAATATAGCAGAGTATACGTCAGCGCCTAATAGAATGTCCACTGGACGACTGACGTAAAACTCGGGGTCTGCTAACTTGATATGGTCTAGGTATGCCCAATCTGGTTTTGAAAATGTGTAACTAGGCAAGTTTTTGATAAGGCTTTTCATGATAAGTACCTCCGACTTAAACTTGAAGTCTGTAATAAGTGATGAACATTTTATGGTAATTAACCCTTTACAATTGCTTTCTTTATCACCCACACCTGATGTTTACACCCTTTCAGCTTCTTCTTGGTAATCTTAATAACTGAGCAGCCCGTTCCGTTATCAAAGATGTTTGGGAACCCTGGTCCAAGAGGTAACGCATTTTATGAAGGGTTCCATCTGCTGATTCTGACCTTGATAATCGCAGTTGGTAACAATACTTCGATCGGTTCATTCGGAAGCGACACGTGCGAACTACTTTTGACGTATTTCCCGGAGTAAGCATTTGAACTACTGGCGCCGCTCGGACCGGCACCTCCGGCCGCTGTTTCCGGTGTCGCAATACTTGTTTGTTTGAATGTTTCATGTAGAAGGCTATTATGATCCTTATGACATTCACGACATCGTCTATCTGAAATACAAGCTTTTCCATAGTGGTTATATAGGCAATTAGGACAAAGATTTAATTTTGTGACCATTTTCCTTCTACTGCTTAGCGACATATCTAAAAAAATTTGACAGAAATATATCCCGTGCTCATTGCTGTTGCACAGTGAACATTGCTGTCATCGCTATGCTTGAAGAAAATGATTTTTTGTAGTAATTCGGTTTTTGATTACTGTTGTTAAAAGATTTTAAGTTTCCTTGATATTTTTGTGTAGGGTTATCTTGCTTCTTACGAGCTGATTCCAACGTAGTGAATTTGGTTTCCAAAAATCCAAAAATTCGTTCAGCATAGGTAACCCTTGGGTGCTTAACGGATTCAATATAATTTGAGTATGATTCGGTGTCTAATTTTTGCGACAAAATGTATACAATCAGAGGGTCCCATGAGCTTACTTCGACTCCTAGATTCTTGATAGCATTCAGACACTCAATTGTAGTATCATGAATGCGCTTGATATGATTCAAGGACTGATGTTGCATAACAGGAATATTTGAAAGTAAACTAATATGTGATGAAAATATAAGCCTCTTGTTATTAAATCTTTGATTTAAAATGTCCCAACACACGTTGTAGTTGTACGAGCTAACGCTGAGATGCTGGATTAGTCTCTCGGCTTCTCCTTTCATCTTGGTCTTGAGATACTGCATCTTCTGGGCGTTGGACATAGACGGATTGTTATGGATTGTTTCAGTGAAAAGGTCCTTGAAAGAAGTCCAGGTGTTATAATTTCCACTGAAAGTCGGAATCTCCATCTGCGGCGTAGACTTTTCCCTGTGAGCCACTGACCACATTTTCTTGTTAATGGCTTTCTTGATTCTACTATATTCTGATTCGTAGTTGTTAAACGTATCTTCATATTCCTTGTTCGACCCTTCCAGCTCACTATCTAAGTCCCAGTGCAGCGCGTCGATTGCTGCCCACCGGGTTTGAATCGTCCGTAATAAGTCATCAAATTCCCACTTTTCTGACACGGAATCAAGGTCAATGTTTACTACAGTACGCTGGAAAGCTTTAAAATTAATAAACTGTTTCTTCAGCATATCGTCGGTCTTGATCGTCGTGCCTGTTGCTTGCCCTGATGGTCGAGAGGATTCGCCTTCTCTCATAACAAATGTTGGTGGCTTTAGAAGAGGCGTTCTGGGCCTTTCCCCTGTAAGCGGCTGATAGTTCTATATATGAAGCCTAATAGGCCCCTATCTTTCGGCTATTCGTTGAAATTCCTGATTCATAAAGTAGCTACTAGACTCAATACCGAACTCTGATAATCTGAAAATTGAACTCTAGCCAATACTTATCCAACATATCCAATCTACGCTGTATATAGTCTGACGTCTTCCTTTCTGAGCTGTATTTTTTAAAATTGGTAAAGACATGCTCTATCGCCTGAGCGATTTGCTGCTGATTAGCCAGGAAGTCGTCTATTTTCGACATGATAAAGAAGAGAAAAAGGGCTGATCTTACTTGATTTCTGCTGAACGGCGAATGTGAGCAGACACGCTCACCGACTGATGATGACCAGAGACTTCGTTCTCCAGACGCAGCCGTGCACCTTGATCGCACAACGCCTTGATACTTGCTGCATCACTGGTTTCTTGATAGCCCAGTAGCAGTCACGCAACTACGCGCCACGTGTTTGAAAAAATCCGATAGGTTACTGCGTGGAAACACCGACACGTCCACACCGCAACTAAGGCACATGTGCCAAGGACCCGCTTTTTCGGAAAGCTCGAAGGACTAATGTTCGGGGTTGTACCAACACTAAGAGGATGATAAACTGATAACGCTTGATAAGTCTGATAAAATATATTTTGGATAAGTTACAAATCTTAAAGGCTAGAATTACTGATAATAATGAGTACGCGTAGCGCTCTTGATGGCTATATGCGAACTGATTTTATAATACAATTGCCGCGGAAATATGTAAAAGAGGTCAAGTTGTGAAATGATTACTTGACAATTGCACGTTGCATTTTATGCTCGTACACAGTAGGTAGTAAATATATACAAATAAATAAAATTGGAGTGTCTGTTTGTAATGTTAAAATAACAGCTTTTTATTAAATGCATATGAAAGTATAAACGGTACTTATAACAAAAACACAATTTTTTTTTTAATTTTTGTTTGTCTGTCTGTCTGTCCGTCTGTCTGTTTTTCCTGCTAATCTCCGAAACGGCTGTACCGATTTTGACGGGACTTTCACTGGCAGACAGCTGATGTTATAAGGAGTAACTTAGGCTACTTTTATTTAGGAAAAAGAATTAGGGTACTGCGCAAAAAAAATTAAGAACCTAAATAATACGTGGGCAAAGTCGTGGGGAACAGCTAGTTAAACATAAAAGTGACTTTCAATAAGTATTACTAATAATCGATATTGAATAAAAAGATTGTTCTATTCTTTTAAATAAAACTATAATACTAATAATAAATACGCCGATGATTTATGACCCAAACTGCACGGGTAAAATAATTCTAGTATAGTTTTACGGATTTTATCGCATATATAAACTTATTTTATATTCCCGACGTTTAAAGTACTTTACAGCAGGCATGGTTACGGGGCGGACTGAGGTGTTTGACGTCCCAATGTTATAATTAACCATGGCTACCTCCAGATTAAAAATTATTAATTTTTGTTCCTATCTACGCAGTATGAACTTACAACATCTTGAAGTCTTGAAGTTTTATGCTTGTGTTGGGATTTAATTTTATTAATTACTAGCTGTGCCCCGCGGTTTCACTCGCGTCATCATGTGTCCGAGGTGCGCGACATGACCTAGTTCAAGCATTTTATAAGGGCTAGGGTTTAATCGTCGTTCGCGTAGCACAGTCAAGTATTGAATTATTTTAATTTTACATTATCTCTTAAACTATGCGTCTAAATAACATGGTATAAAGAACAAAGTTTATCTTCATAAAATTGTCTTGATGATGAGGTAACTTTCGTTCGTAAGGATAAATAGGCCATGCCTAATAATAACGCTCATAAATCACTTTTAAATTTTCAATATTTTTTTTCACAAAATACCTAATTATGGCTTATGTATATGAAATAGACATATGGTATCACGGACTTTTTTTAGATGGAGTAAAGATCTATATTTTTTTAGAACATTGTATTAACGTATCCCTGATGATAACACCAGCGTACGCGGATAAATCATTTCGGGAGTGCTTTTTCTTCTGACTTGCTTAACAAATATCCATGTTTAAGGCTAGTTGAGTAATATAGCTTAATGCTAAATAGCCTATACTATTTCACATGAATCTGGATATAATATACAAAAAGAATTTTTCAAATCAGACTGGTAGTTCCAGAGATTAGCGCGTTTAAACAAACAAAAAAACAAAAAAATTCTTCCGCTTTATTATATTAGTATAAATAGGACCCCAAGCAGATGGTAGCATCCAGCCATCTTCCCTATTGAACAGGATGTGTTTTGATTTCAATA